ATATATATATACATATATATATATATATGTATATATATATGTAATGATTACAGATGTATCATTTGTAGAAGAGCTGGTTTGTTGTCAGATGCAGAAAGTCACAATTACATCACGATGCGCGCACGTTTTAGAGTTTGTAGGTTTTTTTTTTTTTTTTACAAACTAGAGGAAGAACTTTTAATGTGACCAACAGAAATCATATCCATTCCTCAGACAACGTGACCTAAAATATGTTGGTCAGAGGTTGAAAGTTTCCATTTTTATACAAATATATATATATATATATATATGTGTGAAGGCATTTCAACTGTAAATAGTTTAAACTGTACAATTCTGTAAAAATTATATATAAATGTCTTCAAAGATTCAGTGATGAATGTTGTTTTTATAATGTAAGAATCCAAAAAATGGCTTGCAGATATTGCTCATTTGTGTTCCCCTTTTGTATTTTTAATTGTGTAGTAAACATGTGTATCCTATACAAATATAACTACAGTATTAACATCTTTTTTTATAAATGTACACATTATTAAATGTAAAATATAACATGCTAGGCTAGTTATAAATGACTTTTTACGTGAGATGCATTGTTCTCATTACATGTATCTGTTTTCTGAAAGTGAAGTGGTTCTTTATGTAAAGGACATTTATGGGCTTTTCTTGTATTTTTTTCTTATTTTTTTGTAAAATCTAAAATGTCTTAAAGATATTGTGGACCAGATGTATGAACATGTAGACACACAGCAACATGTGCACTAATAAACAGCTACACTGTCATGAAAGGTCTTTTCTTTTTCATGAAGGTCTGAATACACAGCTCAACTTTGTGCATGTGGTGGTTTTTCAACAAATTACTGAAGATATAGCCCAAAATGTCATGAGACTTACGTCCTGAGGCTTCTGGGGAATGTCATAAAGAAAACAGAGCTGGAAAGTCTACCAAATAACTATGAAGACCAAATGTCTAGAGATGAAAAGAACCCAGAGGAGTCAGGAGTCAAAGACAAATATACAGAAGATAACTGAAATCCAGAGCAATGACAAAATTAATAAAAATAATTTATAACATTAAGAATTATTCAAAATGACAATTAAATGGTAAATGGACTGCACTTATACAGCACTCTACTAAATCTATACAAGGCATAATCAGTCCTTTATCACAATCAAACACCATTGGGACACACATTTGATCAAATATATCAACAATAATCCTCAATAAGTGGATGATTCTAAAATACCCTTTACGGTGCTTGTTATATCAGCTAAAGAAGCCATACAGGGGGATCATATTTGGAGAATCATTTGTTTTGTTTTTGGATAAGAGGCTCAAGTTTGGGACCATCCAGCCATGAAGGAAAAAGTCAAATTATAGAGACTCTGTGTTCAAAAACTCATCTGCGTCCTTCAGGAAACAGGGGGTTAGTGTCGTTCAGGAAAAAAGTAAGAAATTATTAATTCGGTGTCACAATGTTAAGGTGCCAGTGTTGCTACTGTTCAAACTTACTAAATTAATTTTCTTTTTCAAAGATTTTAATTATTTGGGGTTTTGTAAAAATCTGATGTCTGTGATGGACTTGTGACTTGTCCAGAGTGTCCCCTGCCTCTCGCACAGTGATTGCTGGACATTGGCACCGGCAACCCCCACGACCCATAAAGGAAGAAGCAGGTAAAGATAACGGATGGATGGATGGATGGATAAAAATCTGATGTGTTTTTGATGCATAAACTGTGCAAGTGGAAAGACGACCAAGATGCTGTTCAGTGTGGTCACCACTGTAAGCACGCAGCAGTGTCTAATATCCCTTCATGACAGCATGGGATGTAATAAGACAAGTGGACAGTTTCACACAAAAAGTCACTGTGTCTAAACAGATACCTCTCCATAAATGACAAAACATCATCACACAAACTTCAGGTGTCTACAGTTTTATGTTGGTGTTATGGGCCTCGGCTGGCGCGGTGACCTCGATAACAAAGAAGATATCTGTAAAATAAACGTAGTTTGTAAGATTAGCAACCACAGTGACATCCGTGCCTTTTCTCCAGACTGCATATGAACGTGAGTAGGAAGTTGCCACAAAGGGGGCGCACAAAGGTTCCGCTCCTCCACAAAATAATTGTTTGTTTTGTTTGTTTGTTTGTAATTTTTATTCATTTCATATTTAAAACACAAAAACAATTTAGAAACCAAATGAGAAAAAAAAACACGTCATAAAATGAAAGGTAGCAGAAGAAGAAAAAATCTTATCATATCTGCCCCTTGTCTAAAACAAAATCAATTCAAACAATCAATTCAAACAATAATCATCTATAAGTAATATAACAAAAATTAACTCATCACAATTTTACGTATTTACATGTATCTTTCCAAAATTTTAATCTTAATCATTTTCTTAAATATAGGCAATGACCTGACTTTTTTTACATCGTTTTCCAAACTATTCCACAGACCTATTCCCTGAATTGAAGTAGACCGCCCCTTTAAACTGGTTCTGTACTGTGGTTTAACAAAAATGTCTGTTCCCTTAAGATTATAGCAACTTTTCCTTTTTACAAAATACGTTTGAATGTTTGAAGGTAGTGTGTAGTTCTGAGCTTTATACAGTAATAAAAGAATATTATAGTTAACCAAATCATGAAACTTCAGTAATTTCAATTGATAAAATAAAATACCAGATGGATGACAATAATGCTTTCTTGTGATAATTCTTATAGCTCTTTTCTGCAAAATAAAAATGGGCATCGTTATAGTTTTACATGCTGTTCCCCAAACATCAACACAATAAATTAAATGTGGGACTATAATTGTATTATACAGCAAATACAAGGCTTTATCATTCAATAAGTCCCTTACTTTATACAGTACTACGGTGGATTTAGATATTTTAGTTTTTACAGAATTTATGTGCTGTTTCCATGACAGTTTATCATCAATAATTACACCCAAAAACTTCACCGCACCTACTCTGCATATCTCAACACCATCAACTCTAAAAGGAACATCGACAGTTATCTTTTTTTTACTAAATATCATATAATTAGTTTTATCTAGGTTCAATGATAACTTGTTTAATTTAAACCAATTTTGTATTTTGACAAACTCCATCTTCATTAACTCAAACATCTGTTCCAAGTCTTTACCCAAATAAAAGAAAGTGGTATCATCAGCAAAGAGAACACATTTAAGGATACTGGACACCTCCGTCAAATCATTTACATACAAAATAAACAACTTAGGTCCAAGTACAGAGCCTTGTGGCACTCCACATGAAATACTGCTTAGGTTAGATCTTACATCGTCTATTTGTACAAACTGTTTTCTGTCTTTTAAATAACTACATATCCACTGCAAAGCTGAACAGGATTAAACAGGATTACCTCTGTAAAGTTAGCAATTATAAATTCCATATTTAAGTTATAAAGGAAAACTTGTTATCTGACTTTGCCTCTTCTATAGCAGCATCTCTTACTTGTTCGGGTTGAATGTAACGTCTCTCTGATTGACATGTCCAACTTAGTGCAAGTCTGTCTTGTGATTCCCTGTAAACTTGTTGATCCGGATGCTGACTCATGATTTGTGCATGCCTGGGCACACGAAACCAATAGAGGCATATCGTCTTCAGAGACAGGGCTGAGTTGGCTCAGCCACCTCATCATGGCTGTCCCCCAGGTTCGTTACCCACTCTTCCGTGTTTTCCCCCTACAGCTGGGTTGCCCCCCTCAGGTGAACAAGTTTAGTGGCAGTCGGTCTGGAGAGTCTCCTTCACTTTCAACCCGTGTTGCTGTGAAAAGCAGCCGTGGTGGCCGCTTTATTAAACACTCTAGCTGTTACTGTTACGTATTTTATTTATTTATTTAGTGTAT